GTGAACAATACGTTCCGACCAGCACCTCCGATTTCTTATGCAAATTTCTAAATAGCTGCGTCACATGAACGGCAAAACCCGAACGGTAAACAAATGAGTGCCGGAAATTTGAGTCGCCATCGGCCGACGAACGCCGAACGATCAGAGGTCAATTCCAACCCAACTCTCCAGTTCAGTATGAACAGCAAAATGGAGGCGCAGATAAGAGTTTCAATATTTCTGCGTACAAAACAGGCTTTTACTGATTGCATATGAGTTCCATGTTTGATGCTTTCTGCTAAATTACATTTTCATCCGGTGGGCAGATCAGTTTGACGAATTAAGGCGGACTTTCCTTTATAATCTTAATTTTCCGAGTGCTATAGTAAAGAATTTATGGGTGAAGATAAACTGCTGAGTATGAAGGTCCATATAATGCAGTGCGATGCGCACATCATTTGCGCGTGTACGCGTCGCGTTCGGTTTACGCGTAAGTGCTGTGGAGACCGCAACAAAACTACATGAATCGTCAAATCAACTAGCATATAACTACAACCTCATTGTCGTAAAATTAGATACTACAAGCTCGTACAATATATTTTGGTCTGCGGCCGTGAACGAGAGAAAAATATGGATTGCATGAACAATTCATCTACAAACTTTGTAGATAATCGTAAATGACGAAAACGTCATCATGCAATCCCACTACCGTGAGTTTTTAGATTTACAATTTTTGCAACTTACTTCGCTATATTCGACTTGAAACTAATAATTTCCTTATCAAGGGTAACTTTATTGTCCTAAATATGATCTAATCCAGAATCGGGGAGTGCGAGCCGACCAAAAAAAAATTGTAATTAGCGCATTCTCTATTTACATTCTCCAACGAGAGGAAAAGTAGCAATCAGATGTTGATCTACGTATTGTCACTGACGGAAATATAAACTATTGAAAGTTTCTTATTGTTGTTACATCAGCTAGCTTCTCCTGGAAAACATTTTCAACATTCCAACTGACTGCACACCGAAAACAGTCGGTGTGCAGTCAGTTGGAATTTTCAGTGGAATGGTCAGTCGAAAACATTTTTTATACATTAGCAAAATGATTTAGTGACTAACAAAAGTAAGTCCCCTTCTGTCGAATTAGTTGCAGGTTTACCAAACTTGGGCGAGTAACGGCTACGAGTCCATCGTTCGCGAACTCAAAAATATGCAAATATCGGCTCATTTTCAAAAATGGGACACTTCCGCAAGGTATTTTGACTCTGAAAACAGTTCCTGCAAACATAAAAACATGTCATTTTGCAATGAAGTTATTTTCATGACTGATTCAAAACTAAATATTTCGAAGAACGTCAATTATGTCACCAATGTTATGTCCTGGTTAATGTTTATAGCAAAAACTAAGCATACAGTGCTGGCCATAGCTATAAAGCCACCCTAAAAATCACCGCTGCTCTCTCTTGCTCATAATTGTCTGAAAAATCACTATTTTGTGCGCAAACCAACGTCACACCACTGACCAGAGCGGCTCCCAATTTTATGGATTTTGGAGGGAGAAAAACTGAAAAATTTGAAAAACGGGTTCCGAAGGCTGGTCACAGCTATAAAGCCACCCTCTCATTTTCAATCAGTACTACGTTTTGTGAACCTCAAATTTTTTATACATATACAACATCAAAATATGAAACATTTGTTACACTTGGAAGGACTCGCCTTTCAAAAAGAAGATTTGTACTGCATTTTCTGCTGTAATGTGCATAATAAGTCACATTATATGCAAAAAAACTGCTTTTTCATTGAATTTTGAAGCACTTGTTTGACTCGGATGAAGGTCCTAGGATTTGTTTAGCCTTTGCAATAAACGATGTGAAAAGTGCTGAACTGAAAATTGCGTAGTCGCTAATCTTGATAAACGAGCCCTCATCTTACCGAGGTGTAAGCACGCTTCTGAGGCGCAAAACTCGATTTCTGACGCGCGAAAACTTTTGGTTATAAGCTGACACCTTGTCTGCATGGCGACGTACTCATGTAGAAGCTGTCAGATTTTTTTGCAAAGACGTATTTGCCGCACTAAAGTTAGAACGCTTTGTCTGCAGTTCGGTTGTGCGCAATGTATCTCACAAGACTCCAGATTTCACTGCTTTGAACTCCTCATCAAGTCAAATCTTACTAAACTGTCAGGAATAGTAGGATTTTGAAGTTTTGAGCGGTTTTCCGCTCGATCGAAGTGGTTAGAGTGAGTCATGATCAGACGGAGTGCACAACCGAACTGCAGACATTTTAGGAAAAAAGGCGTCCAAAGCGGAATCAGAATCCTTAGAGTTGGACGTAAAAGCTATGCGCACGAGTCTATCGTTGTACAAGCGACGTGCTGAGCACGCGACAGAGCTTTTCAGGCATTAGAACTCAATTTCTGCGGTTCAAAAACTCGTCTACCTGGAGGTGAGGTTGGGGTTCGTTTATCAATATCAAAGACTAAGCAATGTTGACTCAAGCGTTTTCGCTGTATTCATTGCAAAGGCTCGGCAAAGCATAGGGCCTTCATCCGAGTCAAACAAGCGCTTCAAAATTCAGTGAAAAAGCAGTTTTTTGCAAATGATGGTGACTTATTATGCATTTTAGAGCAAAAAATGCAGTACAAATCTTCTTTTTGGAAGGCGACTCCTTTCAAGTGTAACAAATGTTTCATATTTTGATGTTGTCTATGTACAAAAAATTTGAGGTTCACAAAACGCAGTAATGATTGAAAATGAGAGGTGGCTTTATAGCTGTGACCAGCCTTCGGAACCCGTTTTTCAAATTTTTCAGTTTTTCTCCCTCCAAAATCCTTGAAATTGAGAATCGTTCTGGTCAATGGTATGACGTTAGTTTGCGCACAAAATAGTGGTTTTTCAAACAATTATGAGCAAGAGAGAGCAGCGGTGATTTTTAGGGTGGCTTTATAGCTATGGCCAGCACTGTATAAGACGATATAGGTGAAGGTAAACACATCGTATACTATCAGATTCCTGTCGCTAAAAATGCTAAAAGGACCAAGAATGTGATTTCAGTTCTCATTATGATTTTTACGACCTACCATTTCAACTAGAAAAACCTCGTCCTGATCGGATGCTTTTACGAATGGTTATGATATTCGATCACTTTTATTCGACTTAAACTTGTTTTCGATACTAAAGCCATGTATTGCATGTAAGGAAAAAAGTGGAATACAAGTTCCTATAAAATTGCCACGATTTTCAGAAAGGATGTATCCATTCACTAACATTATGAGCCATCCTCATCAAGTACTGGAGCCAGGAGGGTACTTCAGTAGAGAAGGTGAAATTTGCAGGAAAAATATGCCGAGGCATCTTGCCGTGCTCGCTTTCCTCGGGAAAAACAGATTTTAGCAAATAACATTTAGAATTCACCAGTTTATTGGCCCTACAGAAAGTCATAAGCTCGGTCTTGAAAGCAAAAGACAAATAAATAGGTCCAATGTCAAAATATTTGTCAGGTGTGACGCAGTAACAACCGCGAAATTGCAAATTTCGTCTCTCTGTAATGATGAGTGGAACATCAGCTGCAATTTTTGCTATGGTACATGGGAATTTTTGATGAACATGTACATGTTGAGCTTCTCATCACAAACGTTAGTCATTTCGCGTATAAGCTGAGAGAATACCTAATAGATGTCCTCCCGCTAAAAAAACCCTTGGCAGTACAGGGCTTATCAAACGCAGTGTCGCTTTCATCAGCATCTCCCTCCCGCGCTGGACTCTGCGTCTCTTCCGCGAACATGCTCTCTGATCGCTTTCCCGGGGGAGCGCGGAAAAGGCGGAGCCTCAATCGGGTGGGGGACATTAGGTCGCCGAAAAAGGGCGGTCCCCGCGGTCATTTGCGACAAATACGCACCCTTGTACATGCGCGGACATGCGTTCCTGCAGGGAATCCGCGCGGGACTTTTCCAAATTCGGCGACCTAATGTCCTCCACCCGCCTCAACCGATTGGAAGTGATTAGAGAGCATGTTCGCGGAAGAGACGCAGAGTCCAGCGCGGGAGTGCTGATGCAAACGACACTGCGTTTGATAAGCCCTGTATAAGCTGCTGCATGACGAAGGCAATCTCTTTGATCACGAACGCGGCTTTATTAGCCGCAGGGCGCAGGAGGCACAGAATTTACAACGATGAGGATATGCGCGCGCTCGTTCGCGCCCTCTTGCCTAGTACTGCTTCTGCCGACGCCATAACGTAATTCAGCCAATGCAACAGCAGCGCTCCTAACGCAATGTTACTTATGGCATCGAATTATGTACATATCTGCCCCACCCCCACCACCTCCTGTTTTTGCCACCGAGACTCTTTAACAAGGGGGAGTTTTGTGGGCTTCAGGATATCGCGGCGTGCGCGGCAAGGCGGCCACCGAGCGCGGCGTGCCTCCTGATGTGCAGCCTTCTTTGTCGAACCCCAGCCATCACGGCAATAGTAATGTGCAGTTGTACAACTAATATTTGAGATGGATAGACTGCATATGGTGGCAGATAGAACTCTGAAGGCAGCGTCCAGGTAATAATTGTCCCAGTACTGTAGTTAGCGGACGACTTGCATCGACTTACAGGGTTTTGCACAGCGAATTCACAAGCGGGTCCAATAATCCTGTAAGAAATGAAATCTTAAGTGTTTGGAAGTTCTTCATTTTTTTCCCTCCTCTCTTGAATTCATTTACATTAGTTTCCAAAGTCATCTACTATAGAAAAAAATGATCTACCTTAGAGAGAAGTTGAGATAATAACTGTGCAGTAGTGCTGGTGGTAGACATTTTCAAATGAAGAGCACACGCATTGCGAGTGCCAAAACGCTGCCTTTGAACACAAAATGGTACAAAACTTCATTGAACAGTTATATTTCTGAAAACTCTACTCCGCAGAGCTTCATCCTTCGTAGTTCCGTTTATCCTGCAAAGACAGTGTGAAGTATTAACCGAGGTCGTACACAAACATTTAAGCCAATAAAAGCTGAATGAGAAGTGTCGGAGTTGACTAATCAACATGCTGCGCAACTGACCTGTATACATAACCTTCTTTGCCTATGGCTGAAGTAATGGCACATATAGTCTTCACGTCATCAATTCCACTATGGAGGCGACCCTGCAGAAAAGGCAACGTTTTCGTTGAGGGAACAAAGAAGTGAAATTTACCGCATGCTGTAAACCGTAAGCATTGAGTAAATCCCTCAGACCCTTTGCAAATGTTCCCGTGTGGTCACAGTACGACTTTTTCACATTGATCCATTGGCGCAGATATCTAAAAGTTGCTCAACCAGATCAAGTTATCAATTCTCAGTAAAATGTACCTACTGAGGAACTTCAAATCTTTTATTTTTTGCTTCGGATGGTAGCATAATACCGAGGTCCCAATCTCCACATGTGATAAAGGCTGTGCGAGAGCTTAGCATTCCTTCCTAGGGCCAAGGTCTTAGTAGTTGACCATTGAGAAAACAAGCAATGCTTACATGTTTCATCCAAAGGTGGAACCGTTGCAGAACTTCGTCGATGGTAGGTTGGTTATCAACCATTTCCTGAGATATATTGATTTAGAGTTAGATTCACATCTTAATGAAACATACCCTCTCCCCCCCCCCCCCCCCCCTCCCTCACCCCCATGACCATATCGCGTAAGGATCTTAGCGATTTTAAGACTATGTTTTCGCATTTGAGTCGAAAGGGAAAGCTTATATGCATTCGATACTAGCGTGCAAACAGAAATAGCAACAAAGCAGTGATTTGCTCGCTCTTGTGCTATTCGTGTGTCCATAATTCAGTTATCAATTTACAAAGACGTATCAGCTGATTGTGAGAGTGATTACTAAACACATCTGCACCTAGGTATCAAAGCACGCTATTACTGTTATTCAGATAGGAGATTCCGCAACAAGACTGAGCTAGATTTCGCAAATTTCAGCCGCATATAGCGGTTGAAATCTGCGAAATCCAACGAAAGACAAAATCATGAGAAAACAAGCAGTACTACGTCAGTGTGACATCATTATACCTTTGTTTCTTAACGTATGAAGGAACACTGGCAACGATGCTGCAGTGGGACAGGTTGATAAAAACATGAAGAAACACCAAAAACTTCAGGTGAGTATAAACGCAACGTAAAAATGTTGATATGCTTTGATACAAGCCAACTATCGAATCGCCTTAAAGATTCTGGTAGATTGACGCACAAGAAGAGAAGCAATGTAGTAGATTAAGAAAATGAGAAAAAATTCCACCAATTAGGGATAGTTCAAAGTGACCAACCTGGATTATACCGGTAAGATGTGTGCAGAACGAAGTTATGATGGGATTTGCAGTAGGCCTTACGTACTGGTGAAAATACGAGCTTACAGTCCACGTTTTTGCATCCAATTTTGCCACAGGAAGTTCGATGATCTCCTAAATGACTACTATTCTTTCAATTAGCTAGCAGCCTGGTGTTTGAAAAACAAAATCGAATGGACAGTATTCAAAACGATAACATACAGGATAGGGCAGAATTGGTCCATCGTCTGTGCAAGTGGCTTCAAAATCCAGCACCAAAAAATGATCGAAGCGTTGCGGCAACATAATGTTATCTAAAATTGAAGAGGATTTGGATTTTGGAGGGTTTCTAGAAACGGATCTGGTTTGGGATGCGACAGTGAAATGCGGCAACACTTTATAATGACAAGAGCTGAAATCCAAAATGCTGAATGGGTAAAAACTATCTCTAACCATTATCCCTGAACCGAGACCTTGACTCGCAAACTTTTCTTGTTGTGCACTGCCTGCCTCCCGGGACAGAGCAAAAAAAGACCAGTACCTACGGAAAATAGGAGCAGAGACATAAGAGTTTTTTCATACTATGCCGCAGCAGTCGCAGTGAAAATATAGGTTCGCTCGCTGTTAGGAACCTCTTGGAGAATACGAACGTGCAGCAAATATAGATATAAATCCATAACCGGCAAAGCTGTGCGCCGTGAGCGTATATTTACTGCGGCTTCAGCGGCGCACGCTGCAGGACGCGGCGTAGTATGAAGGAACCCTAAGGAGGCAGACTCAAGTATATGGAAATTTTAACGCGGCACTGAGGATTTGGGTGGATGGTGCCTTAAAGGCAGCGTCCATGCAGTAGGACCTATGGCGACTTTACGTGGAAAGTAATTTTGGGGTCTAACTAAGGCACTGCCCGAGCGGCAACGCAGGTGACTCACTAAAGGCTGAGATATGTATACGCCTCCAAACTGGACCCCAGGATCGTATTCGCATGGATTCATAGCAGTTTCGCGCGAAGACCCACGCGTTACGCCATGAATCCATGCGAAATACGATCCCGGAGTCCAGTTTCGAGAGGAATATCTCACCCGTTAGAGCACTAACTGAGCTGCCGTTTGAGCAGTGGCTTAGTTAGGGCTCCAAAATTACTATCCACGTAAAATCCCCATGTCTCCAGACTTGCCTGGACGCTGCCTTTAAGGTATTTATCTAACATTTAAGGTAAGTGCCAGAGTAAGCGAATATTTTGTTCAGCTTCATTCAGCTGCAAAAGGCGCGCAGAATTAATGTTTGCTGCATAAGGTAGGTGCCAGAGTAAGCGAATATTTTGTTCAAGTTGGGGTCCCGGGCAGAACTGGCATCACTAATCATTGTGGCATAATGCCAGCTTGGCGTTGTGCCACAATGATTATTAACGCCAGTTCTGCGCGGGACCCCAACTTGAACAAAATATTCGCTTACTCTGGCACCTACCTAATCTCTACTGCTGCCAAGGCCTGCTCCAGCTGCGGGTCCCGCGCAGAATCAACTTTGATTCTGTGCGCCTTCTGCAGCTGAACGAAGCTGAACAAAATATTCGCTTACTCTGGCACCTACCTAATCAGCGCACAGGGCTCCTAAATTGCTGACATGAGTCGTTTGCACAAGCGGTCGCGCGACCGCTGGTGCAAACGACTCTGCAATTTAGGAGCCCTGTACGTCATTATTTTCCAGAAAGAAACCTACTAGTCTAGTTTTGACGACACTCAAAGACACAAAACATGGATGACGCGGACTGTTTTTTGCAAAAAAAAAAACAAACAGAAAAGGTAAATGCCCAATTTCGAAGGATGCAATATCTATTTCTATTTACCTCGGTGAGTTGCTGATGGAATGACTGTTCGCGATGGTTCTCGTCTTGATATTGTTTGTACGGCCAAGGCTTCTCGCTTGTTGACAAATGGAGTTTTCCTGGGACCCTAAATAATACCGTAGAAAAATCTAGAACGCATTTGTGCGCTTCGTTAGGAGAAACGTACCTTTTTGCAACTGCTCGTAGTGGCGAAAAGAAAATATGGACACCGATACAGGCTTGCTGAGGTCAGAAGAGACGAGAGTGTGTGAGAACACAGCACACTCATTGCACAAGCTTTGCTTCCATCCACAGCACAATGGAATGATGAATGGGAAAGGAGCCGCAAGAGGGCAAGGGAAGATTGAGTTTGGCGCAGAGAAGGAAGCAGTGGTGTGATTGCAGACCTTTAGTGTATCGCACGACAGGACGACAGGTGGATAACCAATCGGTGGCCACTCGAGTTTGGTTCTGCCCAAAAGATCACGGAGATAGATACACAAAAAAATGGGCTTAGTTAAATAATCGCAGTTCTGCTTCTTGAGTATAAATTGAACGATGTTCTATGAGGCAACCTCTATGCATTTTGAATAGTAAGGGATCGTTCATACGCGCATAAAGGCGGACGAAGGCGGACGAAGCCGCACAAAGGCGGACGAAGGCGCACGAAGGCGCTTCTTGTCTCGTCTCGTTTCTCTCGACACACACACTCACTCACACACGCCTCGTCTCGTTTCTCTCGACACACACACAATCACACATGCCTTCGCGAGCCTGTCCACCTTTGTACGGCTTCGGCCGCCTTTGTGCTGCTTCGTCCGCCTTTGTGCGGCTTCGTCCGCCTTCGTCCGCCTTTGCGCGCCTTCGTGCGAATTTGTCCGCCTTTGTGCGCCTTCGTGCGAACTTGTCCGCCTTTGTGCGCGGTCTGAACGATCCCTAATTTTGGGGCTGGCTTAGCCTTGCGCGGAGAGCAACGCTGTTGCGTACATTAGAAACAGTTCAACACTGGAAGATGCGCAGAGAAAACAGGCGGCGAGAGTGCACGAGGAAAGAGGAGTGACACACACCTTGCGCACTCTGGGATCGTTCAGACCGCGCACAAAGGCGCACAAAGGCGCACGAAGGCGCATGAAGGCCCATGAAGGCGCACAAAGGCGTACGAAGGCGCAGGAAGGCATGTGTGAGTGTGTGTGTGTGTCGAGATAGGTAGGTAGGTGCCAGAGTAAGCGAATATTTTGTTCAGGTTGGGGTCCCGCGCAGAATTGACGTTCTCACCATGCTGGCGTCAATCCAAGTGACGTCAATTCTGCTCGAGACCCCAACCTGAACAAAATATTCGCTTACTCTGGCACCTACCAAAACGAGACGAGACGAGACGCGTCTTCGTGCGCCTTTGTGCGCGGTCTGAACGATCCCTCTCCGCGCCCTGCGCGGACGGCCTATACAAATTTTCTGCTAAGGAGGTGATCAACAAGGGAACGATACTTGGTCGAAGTGGTGTTTCATGAAATTCGTCTATCTTATGGAGCATTAATGCTGTTTGAACCTACTTTCGGTTTCAAAGCGCTTTCGAGAGGGGGCTTATTGGAACTTTTTGATGCAGAAATTCGAGCACGCCACTACGACAAAATCGTTTGGAACCGGAGTCCGTGAGATTAAATAGTCGTGGTTACTGTCAGGACGCTTTGTGCAATATATCTCACAAGGGAAGGGTGATTGGTCGAAGTGGCCTTTTTGAATGAACTGGATGAGTGTTAGTTGACTTCGGGGTCAAAATCGTAGGGTTCCGCAGAAATCTGCGTCTTAGCCTTGGCGGGGACCGTCGAATTTCAAACTGTAAGGCTTTGGAAAACGTATGTTCTTGCCGTTTTTGCACCATCTAATGTGGATTTTCGGATTCAGCGTTGCGAATAACTTTCGGCAAGTGCACTTTCTAGAAATCGAGTTTTTGCCCGGAAACTGCCTTTAAGGGCACCGTCCACCCAAAACGGGGTTGATGAGATTTTGATGCCTAACAGTAGTGGGGCCCCCAACTGTATACTTATCCAAATTGCGCTAGCAAAAGTTGCTCCCGAAGCAAGAAAATTGCTTCGAAAATTGCTCGGATGACGGATTCGCCACGTTGGCTCCTCCCCTTTGACTGGGCGTGACGTTCGTCCCGCCCATCCGTGCGCGTCCAACCAATCACCGTTCCGAAGAATCGCTCCGTGGGTTCTGAAAACGGGGGTTTTTCGTGGTATTTGCGGAATTCCGACTTGATATTCGGAATCAGGGGTATGAGAAGGCCGGAACGGCAAAAACATGAAAGTCGAAATTTTGGGTGGACGGTGCTTTTAAAGCTCGCCCGCTTAACACATACGACGCAATTTAGGCCTTGGCGCTCGACAAATAAACCGATAGAATACTAAGCGATCATGCTAATGAATAAAGAAACAACCACACAAGCCAATGTATGAACCACAAGGCTAGACTACTACTGAACCAGAGACCACATTGAACGAGGGCCCCAGGCCGCGCCCCGATGTTGTATGTGAAACAAACCCTCGGATATGTCACCGAAGCTCCACCCAAACAAATCCGCCACGCGTCGCCAAGAACTACACGATACGATAGCCTCCCCGCTCCCAATGTTTTCAAAATAATAGTAGTTGCAAACCCTAAGAGCTCAAGTCTGGTTTGGCTCAAAATAGTCCAAAAATCATGCTGAATTGAGATCCTAATTGATCTTAATTCGCTCAAACTTTAAAGGGTGGGAGAAACTTCGTGGAACCCATGTCAGGCACGAGTACAAAAGATAATAATAAAAAACTATCGAAAATGAAAGCGGACAGATGCCGGACGCACCGCGGGTGGAGGAGCGAACACCCCAATTAGGTACCGCCTCCGCGGCCGCTCTTCCGCACACGCCGCGCTCAAACCTTGGGGCCTTCAAGACTCTCCGCCAATAGAGATTCCGGCGGCAAAAACAGGGGGGTGAGGGTGAGGGCAGATACATGACTTAGGCCCGTATGCACGTACGTCCCCGCTGGGGAGGGGAGGGGAGCTGGATCCCCAAGGGAACGATCCCCTACGCCGAACCCCGCTATGACAGAGGGGAGGGGAGCGATCCCCTCCCCTGCACCTAAGCGGGGATGGTGTGAATGGTTTCAGAGGTATTGATCGAGCGAACCCCAGTGCATACGGGGTTCGAATGGGGGAGGGGATCCCTTCCCTTCCCCCACTCGAACCCCGTATGCGCGAATTCAACTCAATAACGCGGGGGAGGGGATCGACATCCCCTGCAACGAAGTAGGGGTTCGATGGTGTAGATCATGACAGAGACGCGGATATTCTGGTTCTGCCCAGTCATTACCAAGCATTTCGTTCATTTTGATGGAGGATTTTGTTTGGAAGCCGGGTTCTTCTCTCAGCGACCTGTGGCTTGCAATTTGTCTTTCTTTTCTATATTCGCCTCTTGAGAAGAAATCCTAGCAACAATAGCTGCCAATTTCGATTATTTGTAGGAGTTCTTGATCATTCAGGAAATTTGCGCATTTTTCATATAACATAATAGTTTTAACTATATAGGCTGAGTAAACACATTGTAACTTTCATATTTCATGACATGTTGCCACTATCTTGTTATTTTAACATAAGCGGCCTCGAAAAAATCTAGAAAGTAGCATATTTGCCTATTTCTGAGTAGAAATCCCCTGGGGAGTGATCCCCTCCCCAGCGTTCCCCTTGTGCATAGCGGGGATGGCTGCTGGGGATCATTCCCCTGGGATAAAGGACGATATGCAGCTGATAGCTACAGCGTTTATGGAGAGCTGGCACAATTTGCAGCTTCTGTTATGTATTAGAATACTGCTTTGAGCGTCCGCGCGGCACCCCCCCCCCCTTTTCGGCAGCATAACGTCTTCTACCCATTCAGTTGCAGAGACACAACAGCTTCTATAGTTCAACATTTTTACGCTGAAATGGAACAGCATGAGCGAAAGTGGGCAGCATCCGAGAAAGCAGGAACATAATGGGAGTAGAAAAAATCATTTTTAGTGCCCCGAGCGCAGTCACTGCATACGCGCATTCCGCAACCCTAAATTAATGAAAGTGAGGAGATGAAGATGAGTTGCGGTCAAAATATGAAATAAGAAAGAGTTTTTCATAGAAAATTGGAAAGCAAGGTAATTTCCCCGCTTGATCCCCTCTTGTGCATAAGAGGGTTCACTTCCCCTCCCCACAGGGGATCCCTTGTCCGATATTGTCTTTGTGCATACGGGGGTTCGCGCGGGGAGGGGAGGGGATCCCCAGCGGGGATCATTTCAATGGTTAAGCGCACATCCCCTCCCCGCGGGGATGTACGTGCATACGGGCCTTAATGCTGTAAGTAAGACTGCGCCAGAAGCGCTGCTATTGTAAGGAAGCACGTTGCGGCGTCGCTTCGCGAGAAGTTCGCGCCGATCGTACCTCCTGACCGTCCCCGGGCAGCTGCAAGGACCATGGTCCTTTCGTCCTACTGTTATGCATCGTGTTGGGACCAATAGTCCGCAGAGGCGGTGCCTAATTGAGGTGTTCGTTTTTCCACTCCGACCAATTTGCGGAATGGTTATCTTATCGTAATCATAGACATCAAATGATACGGCCAACCATTGCTATATAAAGAAGGGGGTGAGTTAACATTCATTTTCATTTCCAGTTCGACCATGGAGTTCGCGTTTGTACTAATGGTGCTGGCCTGCAACTACATTGAGGGCAATCTCGTTGGAAGGAACAGCAGTGACCACACTGAAGTTACAAAGGAGAATGCGACGAACGCAACGACTTCGGCGCACTTCGCAGCTGTCACCCCTCTTGAGAGAAGGATGCTTGATGGAAGTGCAGGTAAAGTCGCCTGGACGAAATCGCCCGGGTTTTTGTAGGCTGAACGCACGCGAGCGTGCCTGCAACGCGGCTGCTGAGTACGGGCGCTATGATGACTCATGCGCGCGAATGTCAATGTTAGCCCGCAAGAGACACGCGCGCAGGTGCTCATTCCGGGCGATTCCGTGCAGTCAACTATAGCAAGACTAGTGGAGAGAAGGTTGAAATCTAAACTTCTTTTTCAGCTTTTCGAAGGCCTACTGAGCATGAAATGCAGCCTATGATAAAGAATGCTAGAAAGGAAAATATGGATCGTGCTCGTAGAGACGAACCCTTGCTCGCTCCTGAAATTGTCTGGAATAATGTGGATCAATCTGGGAGCACGAATGAGGATGAAAATATGAATGTAGATATAAATAAGGATCAAGTTGAAGTTGATTTCGGAGAATCATATCATCGACGTTCTAAAGATGATGATGATGTCTATGAATATTTTAATGACGATAACGATGACTCTATACGCAACGAAAACGAAGTGAGCGACGACGTCTCTGGCAGCTACGAATCTCAAAATGAACGAGTGCGTTCATATGGTCTTGTAAATTCGGATGGAGACGATGTTACCAGTGAGGATGAAGACGCAGTTTTCTATAATAGACCACTTAATGAGGGTACAGATTCCCGTGAAGGACCACTTGATGACTTCCGTAGCAACTACGAATCTCAAAATGAACGAGTGCGTTCATATGGTCTTGTAAATTCGGATGGAGACGATGTTACCAGTGTGAATGAAGACGCAGTTTTCTATAACAGACCAGTGAGTGAGGGTACAGATTCCCGTGAAAGACGCAACTACGATTCTCAAACTGAACCAGTGCGTGCATATGGTATGCGTGTATCTGGTATTGAAAATGGGGACGGAGACGATGATACCAGTAAGGATGATGATGATGGTAAACCACTTGATGACGATACAGGTTTCTATGATGGACCACTTGATGAAGGCGTCGATGATTTTAGTAGCAAAGCCAGTACCGTAGGTCACCACCTACTGCAATATAGGGTCCTCGAGTGCATATTCCATTTAGGTTCATTTGCACTTCACTGCCATGTCCCCCAAATCTAGAGCTATCGTTAGTAGAATGCTTTCGCTTCTCAGCGAAGAGGTATGGTACAAAAATAGCATTGAAAAGAATAAATTATCTTTTTTAGGTGGGAAAATTTGAGGGTGGATCATCCGGCTTTGGCTCTAATGATGCTGAATCCGATGTACGCAAGAAAGCTCCATGTACCAGAAAACATTTGCATCTTGCGGTTGAAGAGTTGAAATGGGGATGTCGTGGTGTCATGGGTAAGATCTCATACTGAGCTTCACTGAGCTTCCAAACTTATCCCAAGTCGAGTTTCAGAGTTTTACGACAAGGTATGCAAGAAAGATTACGCTAACTGTATCCGTAGAAGGAAAAAACGAAGATGTATACCGCAGTGAGTGCTTCACCATTAATGTGGAAACAATAATGATAAAAGCTTTTGCTTTAAGACTGTGTAACTGGGCCAGACGACGAACCAATAAATACTGTTACCTAGAAGTTTTCGGCTGTAATTAAGTCAATCACAATAAAGATCAATTACGTTGTTGATAACCAGAGAGCTACGTGAATGTAATGAATCATCGATATGTCGTGCATAGATATATAGCATTAAAGATACAGTCTTTTTCAACCGAATGGCCTTTGGCTGAAGCTTTTCTTAAGGGGGAGGGTCGTCATTGTAGCAGGCCTTATACGAGAGTGGGGCGTTAGGCGATAAGTTCTATATCTGAGGGTCACAGTAACGCTTTCGCCAACATTCGGCGTTGGCTTCGCTGGCGAGAAATTCAAGAAAGTGAGGAGATGCAGATTGGGCTGAAAAACGACGTGATGTACTGTCGTTGTTATGAGATGCCAGTTGCAAGGTGGACTCGCGTCATTTCTTATCATCCCTTTCTTGTTTCTGCAGTCTTGACTAGATTGAAGGGAACTGTAGGTTTTGCCCCTACAGTTCCCTTTAATCTAGTCAAGACTGCAGAAACAAGAAAGGGGTGATAAGAAATGACGCGAGTCCACCTTGCAACTGGCAGCAGGAAGACCCACGATCCTTGCGAGCACGCCCACTCACTTTGCACTGTTACTGTCCAATACAATTATACATGTTGGCACAATACTGAATTTGGGAGCATAGCGGGGAAAATGCGGGCTTTGCGATTTCTGATAACATGCAGTCCCGTAGATTTATCGGTATATCGCTTATACGGGGCCGAGATTTGCGAAAGTTGCGCTTGAAAAGATATGCCGGCGATATGCCAGAAAATGCTGGCGTTTTGCGCGCGCAAACTGCCCGCATCGCTACCATGGTTACAGTAAATTGTAAATTTCAACTCAGTTTGGGTGGAGATTGGGCGGGAGTCCGCCTCGCAACGATTCGCGCGTTCCGCAGCTACAATATATCAAGCGCAAGTCCGTCCCACGTCTGCGTCACCTCAGACTCCTCAGTCTTTGCTTGGCAAAATCAGCGATGCACACGCACTGCTTCACTCTAGAGGCTTTACCTCATCCGGGTTGAAAAAACACACTGTACTTGTTCGCGTTCAGATTCTACCGAAAAATTTCAGCACCGAAAGGGATCCCCTATGTTCACAAACAAACAAATCTACCTGGTGTATCCTCAGACAGCCGGGGGCAGGCGGGCACCGGAAAAATAGATGGCTGATTTCTCGCACAGCGCTCGCGGATTTTTTGTGAAGCAATCAGGACTTTTCGGAACGTCGCTTGCTGAATTCTCGATTCCTCAGAGATTCAGCAATATATCTGCAAAAGATAAGAGCGAAAAAAGATTCAACAGGCGGTCTCTCAAAAACTCGCTGACCATTTTCCTGGATTTTACGAGCGGGATGCGAAATTTCAGCAACGCGTATTTTCCGGTGCCCGCCTGCCCCGGCAATTGTCTCAGCCGCGGCAATCGTTACTGAGACAGTACTAAGAGCAGTACTCTAGGTTAGACGCACACAAGTTCGCTGAAATCTAAAATGTCTGCAATACACCGCCCGCTAGAATCCTGAGAGTCGCTATTATCCGCTTCAGACGATGATGATTCTCCTTTGACTACAGCAAGGCGTCCACCTTCTCTCTTTTCAATATTTGTGATTCAGGATAGTTCAAGCAGCACGGGAATCCGAAAAAAAAACCACTCTCTGGTTTCTTCGACAAGTGCTAACAAAACAGGCCCCGTCAGATAGAAGCAAGACGCATTCTGATCAAGCGCTTCCATCCCAGCCAGCCCCTTGCATCATGCTTCGCACATCAAGAATTACAGGGCTTTACAACCTGAGTGTCCCACCCGCCCCGCTAGGACGCCACGCTTAGGTCCGCGCAGCGTTCGTGGCGCTGGCTGCGCGTCGACTGAAGCTTGGCGAAATCCGGGCGATACGCAGCAAACGCCGCGCGCGGTCTGAGCGAGGCGGCCGCGTTGGAGGAGCCGCGCAAGCGAAACTTGCGACTCTCAGGTTGAAAAGCCCTGTACCTCCTGACGGGCATTGTCATGGGAGACAGTCGAATACGGAGAACGAGGGCCGAGCAGGAGGTGTGGCACACATACCCAAGCAAGGCCCCGCTTTGTGTCTCTTATCACAATAGGGCCCCATTGAAATTCCGTTTGCTTACCACAGTTAGAGGAATAGGCCCTACCAAGCATCATGAATTCCATTAGCATGTCATCTACTCCCAGTAGACCAACTTTCACGTCCTAAAGTTTTTTCAATTACTGATAACCTAGGTGAATGGTCATCTTGACATAGTCAACTTCTAAAATAAGTCACCTACCTCAATAAACACTCAGTGGCAAGGTGTTCCAGTGAAGTGGCCTTTCTAGATAAGATTTACACCATTATGAAGACCTTCAAGCGCTGATTCCAAACGTGTTTTCTTATGAGTTGAACGATTCCGGATGCTGAGTTAAGTTTTATTTGCAGCAAAAAAGTACGCAGAATCTATTTAAAGCAACTGTTATGATTGCTCCAGCGCTCAAATAGAGCAATGTTGAATATGAATATATCAGAAATATTATTTGTTCACAGTATCCTTGTATTTAACACTGAATTCAAGCATTGGATGATTTAAGCATTGCTCAACTTATTGCTCAACTCAATTTGAGTTCACTTCATCAACCCGAAAACGCTCAAATTCTAACACTGGCGGAGCATTCTTGCAAAATAATATGTACAGAGTGCTCGTATTATTTATCACTCTTGTAACATATGTGTAATTTTTATGCATACAAAGAAGACATTAGTGAAATAGAAAAGCTGCTACGTGTGCTACATAAATCGGCTCACAACTTTTAGTTTTTTTTATGAATCTCGACAAGTTCCAAAGCCCTTGGATCTAAGAGGAAATATAGGATTGTAAGAAAATGTATGATCTATGCTTTAGAGCCCAGTAACTGTGCTAAAATAGTTTGGCAAGATGATAACGACGGTTTTACGCTACCAAAACGGAGTGTAAAGAAACTTATCAAAGTCAACAATTTTAATAAAGCTTAGCAAAATGTATAGAATGATTTTTAGACTTCCGCATGGTTCGTCATGACCGTAAACTTTTAAGCCAAAATCTAGAACTATATAATTACCCCAAAATCGTTTCCCACAGTAACAAAACTCAAGCGCCTCCACATAAGCCGTACGTACTTGTAGACTGATTATGATAACATTATATGCACTTGGTATTAATTAATGAGTGAAAACTGAGAAAAAAGGATGGCAGGAACTTGGCAATTTTGTAATTGTGTTCACAATAATGTGTTTTTACATATGCGGAGTGCCTCAGTCTGCGTACACACTGTTTGATGGTGAAAAACTCTTGGGGTTTCTTAATCGAACTCACCGGTTGCTTTTTGTTGCTGTGAGATACGGTAGAAACTTGAAGGGATTCAAACCAGTGAGGGCCATATTTCGCTTCAGAAAGGAAAGCAAACAAGATTAGAACTATTAGGCTAAGCTAATCAGGGTTAATGCTGAATATAAATCTGCACTCTAGCGTAATTTCTTTCATAAGTCATGCCAGGATATGCCGTGATTACAGTTTTCTCAAGGTTCTTCTGGAATGTGCATACAGCACATCAAAACCCCGACAGAGCTGTGAAAAAATTAAGAAGGAAATCAGCATGCACGTT